TTTTTTTTTTTATCTATTTTGTCTCATTTTTTCAAAACTGAATCTGGACCCTTGATCTTAAAAAGGGGGTAGAAGGGTGAAGGTCCATCCTCTGTAACTTTTTCAGGCTGACTTTAGGGGCGTTGATCTTACCTAGCCAGGAACCTATAACCTTAGCCTATTTTACAAAGAGGCCATCAGGGTTAGATGTCATTAAGAGCAATATTTAACTTTTGAGAACTGCACAGACCTTTTCTCCGGCTACAGCAGTAAGGCTTGTTTAGTGAAAGACCCCAGACTAGCTGGGCGCTGGTGGCTCACGCCTGTAATCCTAGCTACTCAGGAGGCTGAGATCTGAGGATTGCGGTTCAAAGCCAGCCCGGGCAGGAGAGACCATGAGACTCCGATCTCCAATAAACCACCAGAAAACCAGAAGTGGCGCTGTGGCTCAAGTGGTAGAGCGCTCGCCTTGAGCTGAAGAGCTGAGGGACAGCGCCCAGGCCCAGAGTTCAAGCCCCACGGCCGAACAAAAAAAAAAAAGACCCCAGACTCACTGGGATACTTTCTTCAATGGGAGGGCACCCCAAAGACCAAGACTCCAAACCAGCAGATGCAACAAGCAAGAGGAGTTTATTCAGTGTTTGCGCAAACGGTCTCTCTGCCTCGGCAAGGGAGAGAGCCCGAGCAGAGGTTACAGGCATTTTTAAAGACAAAAACCACAGGATTAGCATCTGACACCAGGTCCATTTACAAGTCACTGTGTACTCCAGCAATCATTTTGCTACGTGGGAAACTTTGTAACACTCGTCATAAACTGGTTGGCTCAGGGCGGATCTAGGGGGAGCGGTCACCCTGGAGGGGAGTGCACATAGTTACAGGCTTGTGATTGGTTGACCTTTGACCTAGTTTGCTGGACTCACCGGATGGTCCTTATCTTGGGTCCCATTTGGGGAATTTTTTAAACAGGAACTTAGAAGAACATACTGTTTTGTTCTTTATCTAAGTCTACAGACCTTGTCCCAGGGCCGGCATCTCGACTCTGAAACTTTTTTGGGGGGGTCTGGTCATGGGGCCTGAACTCTGGGCCTGGGCGCTGTCCCTCAGCTCTTCAGCTCAAGGCTAG